CTTGTCAGTTGATGTGTCTTTCTCCATTAATTCAGATTACACTTTTGAGTTTTGTTCTGAAAACTATTCATTCATCTTAAGCTTTACATCTAAAACTGGAAAATACTTACAAGAAAGGTATTGAAGAAATTTGTCTATTACTATTTTTATGACTCTGATATACAGTTCTAAGGAGCCTCTTGACTGCGTCAGTTCAGGATCTTAAAAATGCAAGTGAAAAGTTTTAATTTGGCTTGAAATGCCTCGTATAGCGCTATCCTAGTTTTAGAGCACTCTACTGGTTTTGGGAGCTTATCAAGCAGGGAACAGAATGCCGAAGTAATTGTGAATTAATAGGTCTGCTTGCTCGTGAGAGGATTGTTACTGCTTTTGCAGTTCAGAGAGAGGGAGTTGCTGCTGAGGCCATTTGTGACTTTGCCAGATTCAGGTTTTTGTCTGCTTTACTTTTCTCGGCTGGAAGCTTGCTAGGCAATTCGTACCCCTGTTTTGTGGGCTGGTCCATCAGTGACCCTGCTATGTGTTGCACAGCAATTGGCCAAAAGGTGAGCAAGGTGGGTAGTTTACCCATGGACAGAAGTGAACAGAAATGAGAACAATAGTCTGTATTTAGTAATGTCTTATGTATGAGAGAAGAAATAAAAAAGAAATTGCAGCTGTCACTAGGAAACTGAAATCATTCTGATAATTCCAAGAGTATTTGCTCCCCTTTGGTGCTTCCCTTGTTCTGCAGTTCTGTCTGCTTGCCGGGATCTTGCTTCTTATTAAACCTCCAATTAAGATTTTATCAAAAGATAAAACTGGATCAAGTGAGGCATCCTCTGTGAGGCTGTGTCCCAGTTTTGGTGACATTGATGAGTCACTCAGCCTGACTCTGAAGGTCTATTGGATCAAGAGAATTGCAGGGCAGCCTCGCTGGGCGGGTAATCTGCCCACAAAACAGTTAATTACAACAAACCTTAGTTTTGTTAGCATGAGATAGGCAGCTATCTTGGAAACAATAATTAAAAACC